AAATACATCCAGCATGTACGTAAATAACACCCACCACCACTTCTTACTACGTAATGAAACCCACCCGATAGAAAGAAACGGACTGGTCCGCTTGATCTACTCCACCCATACCAGCGTTGTATTTTTTTTATTTTATTTTTATTTATTATTAGGTTTGCTAGCATTTGTTACATTTTGAAGATACAATTTATTAATTTAAATACATATTACGTTCCAAATGTACAACTATATAAGCAAACACGAAATGTACGATTAATATATATATCCAGCCTCATCCACCATATTCGCCCGATGTTGCACCGTCGGATTTCCACTTATTCCGAGCGCTGCAACACTTTTTAAGTGGCAAAACATTTGCAAATTTGGATGATATCCAAAATGCCATCTCTAGATATTTTGCCGAAAAACCAATTAATTTTTATCGATCAGGGATTGAAAGTTTACTCACTAGATGGCAAAAGGTTATTAACAATGATGGGGAATACATCATTGATTAAAAATAAAGACTCGTTAAAAATGTATGTGTTTGTATTTAGCGTAAGAAAACGACATTACTTTCCGGTCCTCCTAATATATCCTGTTATGTGGTTCTAACTTGACAAAAATGTAAAAAATGATCGCATCGTATGAAAAATTAATTAATAATAATACAATTAAAATAAAATAAATAAAAATAGAATTAATAATAATACAATTACAAAAATCAAAATAAAGTTAAACGATTTCTTACAGTTAAAATTTAAAATAAATTGGTTGTTTGGATTACAATATCATCAATTTAATAATGGGTTAACAATCACTCTAGTCAACACTTAGTCTAATCACAAAACACAACAACAAAAATTTATAATAATATCTTAAAACCACATTAATTAATGGCATACATTGATAACTAAAACAAATAAAACAATCCATCATTCAATCATAATTATACAATTTGTCGTTTATAATCTAATAAGTTATAGAATCAAAATAACATTGATCCATAAATCGAATAAAAAAAAATTGATTATTATAACGTATAATTTTGTATGAATTAAAAATTTTAAATTTGGACATCAATAAAGAGTTAGACGTTTTTAATTCTGTCTATAACTAGATATCGGAACTTTGGAAGGCTTACAATGTTTAAATCTATTGAATCGCTGAAGTCATTGAGCAATTTGGTCATTCGAGCAACTGCTGAGTAATTACCAAAAACTGTTTTCCGACGTGGTGCGGAGAGAGGTTTTACTGGGGTAGGAGGGTATTTTGAAAAACATGTGAAATAACGTCGTCCACCTTCTGGCGCCTGGTTGAACACCATCGCTTCACCTTGCCAAGGGGTTCCGCACTAACAAAATTAGTCCCTATAGTACATACTCTGTTATCTAACCATCTTACAAATAATATTTTATTGTTTTTATCAAAACGATAATAATCATAATCGGCTCGATTCTTCTTCTTCATCTATTTGACATTGGTTAGAGGTAGTGTCCGACCGGAGGTCTATTTTTGGCCGAAGCCGAAGCCAATTAATCGGCAATCGCCACAATCTTCGGCAGAAGCCGGAGGTATATACTTTATAAGCTCTTAGTAATTTTTTTATTTTATTTATTTTACTTAGGAACACCAACAGTACACATATGCAACATTTACACAAAATATAGTCTTCATATGTAAGGGAGAACAGGGAAATGGGAGCCTACTAAGGGAAAGTTGTAATAAAAAGCACATTACTCAAAATTCTTGTATTTTTTTATTATAAACTCTTACCTTTATTATAAGAGAATACAATAATTATAGTTATAATCAACTACAGACATGTATTAGGGTACAATGACAGTTTTACAAAAAAAGTCAGTCGCTCCTATTACCCGACGAATGCGGCTAATGAGAGCCCATTTAACGATCATATGGGAAATGGGAGCCATTATAATTACTCTTAAAAAAAAATTAACAAAACGCACTATAAATGAGATCTTAGTTATTATAATTATTAATAAAATGAAACTATTTGTAACACAAATTAAAATGAAAACAAATTCAAACAAAACGGAGATAAAATATGAAATTATTAATGGAAAACAAATGATCCTGATTTACGGATCCAAACAAAATGCACAAATATAAGTATCTGGACTATCACTACCAGTACACTCTTTGTGGGCCCAGTTTCCGCAACTTCTGCATCGGTACCACATCTCTCCATTTTTTCCAAGATCTAAACAAATTGCACATAAATTCTCCTCTTCAGAATATTCTGACTCATCATCGCAGATAGCATTTTCGTCGATTTGGTCAAGAGATGAGTTTTCATCATCACTTTTAAACAAATATTTTGTTGCCTTTCTGATCCTTGTGTTTCTGGTTGTAGTCTTCTTGCTTTTAATCTCTTTATCTTTGGTATGTTTCTTCTTAATACATTTTCCTTTGGCACATTTTCCCTTGACACAATTTTCTTTATCACAGTTTCCTTTATTTTTCTTAATTGTCTTTATCTTATTCTCCTTTTCAGTTCTTTTTCTCTTCTTTTCTTCAAATACTGCTTTCATTGGAGTGCTTGTTATTATTTCAGAATGCTGTTTGTTCTTCAACGGTTTTTGTTTTTGAGAGATGAGTTGTTGGGGCAGTGGGCTGACAATGGAGACAACATTAGCAAAGTCAATATTGGGCGGAGTTGCGATAGGTCTGATAGTGTGTGATGATGTCGATGGAATAGAAACTGGAGTTACAGCAGCTTCCCTTTGAATAATTTCCGTTTCAATTTGCAGATCACAAAAAATAGATGGACTTGTTGCAGGGCTAGCATGTGGTTGCTCAGCCTGATTTGATGTTGATGGAATAGGAGTGACACTAGTTGGCTGCTGTTGAGCGTCAGCCTCAGGCACAGCTGATCTGGATTCCTCATTAATGAAGTCATCATCACAAAAAACTCCAGGATTCATAGGGAATATACCTGTAGCTTTAAAGCTCGATACTCCTTTTTCTATAGAAGCAACTCTAGTATAAGCTTTATTAAACAGTCCAGCAATGTCGTATGGAGTAATTTTTATCAAATTTCTTGATTTTATATACAAGTTGCACTCTTTGTTATAAGCTCTTTTAAGTGGGGAATAAAATGCAACGTCAAGGGGTTGTAGACGGTGAGATGAATGTGGAGGAATGGTTAGCATTATGACATGGTTCTCTTTTGCCAATTCCCAAGCTTCGAGAGTAGCATGACTATTGTGATTATCCAATATTAGCAATACGGGTGTTTCAGCAGCAGGTTTGGCATGTTTAATAAAATGACGAAGCCATAAAACAAATATCTTTTCGTTAGTCCAGCCATTATGTGAACATGTATAAACGGCTCCCACTGGTCCATCTTTTTCCAGCTGTGGTGAGTGACGTTGCCGGGGAAATATGAAAAGCGGAGGAACGAAAGATCCAGCTGCACTCATAGCACATATTACTGTGACTGTCTTACCTCTTTCCCATGACGTTACAGACCCGACACGTTTTTGTCCTTTGGGAGCTATAATTTTTTCAGTCTCTTGGACAGTCGTTATACCAGTCTCGTCTACATTGTAAATCATTTGAGGTTCAAATCTATGTTGCTCCATCAATTTTTCCAAGTTATTGAAAAAAAGCGTTATCTCAGTCTTGTTAAATCCGAGAATTCGGTTAATACGGATGGCTTCAGGCTTTCTAATACTTAAGTCTGGATGACGCTGCAAAAATCCAGCCAGCCAATCTTTTCCTGCAGTTTGATTGTCTTGGTTAAATCGTTTCTCAATACCTAGTTGTTTAGCTACACTGTAACATACTTTGCGAAACTGTTCTCTTGTTAAACCATAAAATTTATTAGACATAGTCCGAAGATGGTTAGCCAGTATTTCTTCTTGGGCAACGTTAAATACAGTGGATCTTCCCAGCTTAGGAGAGTGTTTGTAGCTACTACCGCCAGCTTTCGCTAAATTGTACCTCTTCTTTAGAGTGCTGTAAGGAATACCTGTTTGTTGAGATACTTTGTACACCGAAATGCCTCCTCTTTTGAGGACAGATACTGCATTTTCTAATGAATCCACTGTCCAAGAAGCTTTTGTGGTTGTACGAGTCCTTTTACGTGGCATCTAAAACAAAAAAAAAACCAAGGCATTTCATTAATAACTACTACGGGGTAATGGTAGCTATGTCGGGTAATGAGAGCCTAGCTAGGCTACCATTAGCCGCCGACCACCATTTTGAAAAGTAATAATATATATATGTAATTCTATTCTCAATCGCAATCCAACTAATTAGACTTAATAGTAAATGAATCTAGGGAAATAATAAGCATAAATACAATAAAATAAGAATATAATTTCATGCTTACCTTGATGCTGGCAATCGGCAATTTTTTGTAAGCGTGAAGCGAAGAACACTCAACCGTCTCTCGTGACTAAACGAATGGCACTAACGGTTCGAGCGCGTCAAGTGAAGTTTACCGAGTGTTGACGAAGGCAGCCGAGTGCTTACGATCGCGCAAACGTGCCTACATTCCGTTCAATCACCGTAGCTCTCATTGCCCGACCGCTCTCATTACCCCGTGTTCCCCTACACCTATTACAGGTATTCACAGCATTGTCTAAAATGTTTTTAACAACAACAACACCTTAATCTAATTAAATTAAATTACTTCTACAAAATAAAAAAACAAAAAACAACACTAATTAATAAAAACAACACATGGATTAAAAATGAAAAGTTACAATTTAGAAAAATTTATGCAAGGTTTGTCCGAATTTTGAATATGAATCGCGAAACATGTCCAAATCTGTTATCTCTTTGTTTAGTAAATTGTAAAGGTAATTTTGTTCAATATTGTCTACAAGTTACAATTAATATCATAGATTATTCGAAACTTCAATATTGAAGGTTTATATTGCCTGTCTCATATGAAAGTGGATTCAAAGATGATAAAAAAACGTTTGTGATTTATTCCTGATTGTAGCAGTGCAAAATTCCCCGTCCTCATGCTTTCTGTGCATCTCAGTTTATGGTCTTGCTAACTTTGCGGGTATGGTACGTACGTGTCTTCTTCCCTCTTGAGTGTTAGAAACGAGTGGAAGTAAATGAAGATATGTGCCGCTTCGAGAAATTTGGAATCCCATTAACAACAGCCTCTCATACAGGTCGGATAGAGTGAGACAACTCCTAATAATCTCTGTTCGGCGACGTTCATCTGCAGCGCTGCTATGAATGGCAATATTAATTATGGTCTCTAGAAGAGCAGGTTGCGAGTCAACTAAAGGGGGCTGTCCAGGGCCAGTTCGAGGTTGTGTTGCAGCAGGATTGTTTCTCTGACGTTCAGTTTTCTCCAGTTTTTCTTTGGCTCGAAATTTTTTTGCACGCTTAGCAGTCTCTTTTTTTCTTTAAACATTTCTCTTCTTCTTTCAACTCTTTGCGTAGCTTTTTTATTTCATCGTGAACATCATCTTTGGCTATACTAATGTCCCTTGCTTCAGTAAGAACATTTATTCTCTGTTGCAGTAGACCAATTTTCTTCATAAGAGTTTCTTGGTCCGGTTTGCTTGGAACATTTTTAGTGGTTCCGTAGACGGTGTCTCCGCAGTTTCCTCTACAGTATTCTGACTTTGCTCATCGTGGGTATCGCCCATCTTTCGTTTGACGGCAGTGCTTTCTTGTCCAGCTACTGCGACAACCGATTCCATAAGGCCTCTGCCTCGAATCTCGCGGGTAGCGGGACGGCGGCGGCGGCGGCGCGGGAGCGGCAGGATCTTACAGGAGCGGTGCACTCCAGTCAAGCGGTGACCGCCCGCGTTGCGCGTCTGCATTGTAAATAGTATATGGTATAGTGTTGTAAATTTATTTTGTGACGTAACAAAATGTGTTCGGACGTGCAAGAGCTAATTTTTCTGTTGGAGATATAGATCTAAATCGTTTTGGATTAATTCCAGACAATAAATCACTCTTGATAGTTTCAAGAATATAATCAAAAGTTTCTACACTCATTCTGGTGTAGTCGTAGAATTTGTCGGGATTTTGTCTCTGTTCTTTATAATTTCGATAAAACTCGTCATTTATTTTCCTTGCCCTATAGTAGGGATCCACTTCTTCTTTTGCCCACGATAATTCGAGTGTTAGGAATAAATTTGAATCAAAAAGATGTCGCCGTTTTTCAGACATTTCGTTCGCGAATAAAAACAAATATCTCGACAACACTCTCCTATGCAGAGACAAAGTGACGATACTGCGGTGGTAATGTCATTAATATTTTGGTTATAATCATTTTGTCAGAAACTGTGTCGCCTGCCTGTGTTAACTGATTTGCAATGTGTTATATGTTACTAATTAATGTGGCCATACCACCTTCGTCAAATTTATACATACTTCATGAATCTTTCATGCAGCAGGTGAACACTTGTTGAATTTATCAGTACGTAAATTTTTAATTTCTCAACCCTAGACCACTAACCTTCCAGAGTACCCTATTAAAACTAACCATTCGTAGTTTCGACGCACATATTTTTAACGTGGTATTTTTAGGTGAATTATGCTGTTTTTTATCTAAATTCTTCTGAACAATTAAATAACATAGGTTACATTTACAAATAAAACTACAAAAAATAAAGTAATGAGAAATATTTATTCAAACTTAACATTTTCAGTAAGGCACTTGGTTTTCATGAGATCAAAAAAACGTTATTCTTTGGAAAATTAAGCGAAATATTTAAACAAAAAAACAAATATTCTTCTCTTAAGTACTTATAGAACGAGACCTTAGTAATTTATTTATTTATTAATTTGATCTACCAACATTTGTACACATCATCACATACTTAAAATACACAATACACATAACTTAAAACTAGGTGTGACAAACATTTACAGGTAGATACATCATGCTTAATATTCCTCCCAGCGCGAGCCGCAGTAAAAACAAAACCAATAAATTTTAATAAAAATATAAAAAAGAAATAAAATAATAAAAGGTAAACTTACAAAATAAAATAAAAAATGAAATACTGAATGAAAAAATTTAATTAAAAACTAAAACTGATTCATAAGACAGGACAAATACAATTTTAAGGTGAAAAGGGGGAGTGTGTTAAACAGTGACCGAATTCTTTTAGTTGAGTCGTCATGAATGTCAAACACGTCGCTGTAATAATATAGTAATATAAAAATATATATAAAAGCTATTTTGGTCTGCGCAACTAGTGCAGAAATCTATCTTATGTTCAACGCAGATTGCGATGCTGCACTATCAGCAAATGGACTTTGTCATACGCCGTTTCTTATAGGTACATATACCGCAAATTTTCCTTTTTCTTATATTTTGACCTGTCGATACAGACTCATTTCTCGACGTTGACTGCACTTCGTCATGATCACCACTTTCAACTTAGTATTTTCGTTTTTGTATGCGTGGGCATTGTGGGCATTTGAAGTCGTGTTTCGAGCCACGGTTTAACAAGTTGGGCATGCAATTCTTTCATATAATTACGACGGCTCATTATCTTTTGTCCCAGAGTTGACACATTATGGCAGTAAATTATGTAGCTATTGATACAAGCGATATTTAGCATGTCGTAGAAGATGCACATGGGTCACCGATTAGTTTTTCTTTTTAAATGACATGCTGCTCCATCAAATATCAAAAGGCATGGCCCCGCGCTTTTGTATCTAGCCAGATGGTTTAAAAATGTCTTGAAAAGTTCATTGGTCATGTACCCCTTTGATGATTTTTCTACCAATGATCCTGGTGGCAAGTTATCGTATAGTTCTGGCTTTAACCGTTTGCCCTTAAATATGACCATTGGCGGTATGATAGTACCGAGTGCATTCACACATCCTGCAATTGTAACACTTTTTGCACCTTTTTTGGCCAAAACGCTTTGCTGGTGGTGAATTGTTAGACGGCATCCCTTCTCATCCATATTATAAATTCTTTCGGGATGACCATGTAAGTCAAGGTTCTCATAGATAGTCCTCAGTTTTGCGAAATGATTATCGACTATAAATCTATTAAGTTTTTGGGCTCGATACGGGTTCATAAATTGAGCTTTTCTCACTAATATTTCAGGGTTTCTTTTCAAGAACGCCTTAAACCAGTCTTTAAATTAAAATTGCGCTTTATCTCATTTTGCTCACAATATTTATACACCAATCGGCACAGTACTCTCGGTATGACTGGCAAGCCTATTTCAGCGTACCTGATTATCCTTTTCACAAGTTCAGCTTCCTTTTCCGGACTCAATATAGGTTTACGACCCAAAGTTTTCTTTAAAATGCCAGCCTGCAGATGATTTCTGATTGTTCGTCTAGGAACTTTATATCTTTCCGCAGCCTTATACATACGTACTCAGACTTCCTCTTTGTACTGCTCTAACAGCTGGGATGAGATCATCTTCTGACCATAATGCTCTTTTGAAAGGCATCGTGACCATAGGAACTGTAAATAGACATAAAAAGAATAAGTAGAATAGGTAGGTATACCTATAAATAAAATTAAAAATAATAATTTAACAATCAAAACGAATAAACTTAGATGCAATAAAAGTTGACTTCTTTTCTAAAACCAAAAACTCGCTAAGTCTATACCTACATCAGGAAGTAACCTTAACAAGGCTGTATTACAGTTGCTGTGATAAAGATAGACAATAGACACACTGGAAAAACATAACCCTATTTTTGCAGTCGAATAAAAATAAGAGTATAATAAAGCCTATTGAAAATTTTTGTAGGCCTTAATTTCCGCCGACCACGTGCATAAAGAAAACGAAATAAATAAAAATCGTAGAACTACCACGTCATTTAATTAGGTAATATAGGACAAGCATGCATTAACACACAAACACACAGTCAATACAGGCAGATAAATGCAATATTTAAAGAATTACTTACATTTTATTGAAGGCAATTTTTATAATTTAATTTCTTTATAGTCCGCCGCCTCGCCGCGGTTTGTAGTCGCTCTATGCATGTGTGAGTGTAACATTGAGCGTCAACTCCTTTGTTTAGTGTGATTTTTGACATTTAAGCCTCATTACCCGACAGGCTTTAATACCCGCGGGTACCTTAGTCACTACTCGTGAGAGGTAAGCGGTGAATCTTTCCTTGTAAACAATCTTCACATTTGGGAACCGATTTTTTGATTTTTGATACCATGTGTTTAAGTCACTCACTTCTGTTTTAGCAACGCTTACCATATTGCAATTAAATTGTAACTTTATAAAATAGCCATTACCAATTCGATTTGCGATTGCGCAAATCGAATTATCCCAATGATTTGTTGGTTGCCCTAAACTAGATAAAGCTCGTAAATTCTTGGTCACGTGATCTACTAAAAATCGTAACGAAACCTCAGACTCAGGACGGATCTGTTGAACGTTGAGTAAAGATTTTAGATGGTGATTAATCAATAGCCGTTTATTGTTGTACGTCGAATATAACAAGTCCCACGCTTCCTAGTAATTTGATGAGGAAACCTCTAGATTTGAAATAATGCGGGTTGACCCTCCTTCAAGGTAAGACGTTAAATAATGAAATTTATGAACGTCTGATATATGCTGATTATTATGAATTAGATCTAAAAATGTGTCGTGAAATTCAAGCCAGTGAAAATATGTGCCGTAAAATTTTTTAATTTCTAATTGTGGCAATTTTATTTTTAATGATCGAGACCAAATTGAGCATCTTGAGATACTGAGATACCTAAACTCATCTTTAATGTTGTCATATTTTTGTAAAATATTTTTTGCCTTACGGTATTCACGATGAAGTCCTGTTCAATATCGTCTTTTCATCAATTTCAGTGTCAGAATCCTGACTGTGTATCAGCTCTATTTGAGCTTGCAACTCGTCGAACCTCGTTGACAAACCTTCGAATTTACCTAGTTTTAATGATAATTCATCTAATTCGATTGCATACAACTGAGATTGTTGACTGATTTTATCTAGATAATTTTTAAACCTTGTGATTTGTCCCTTAATTGAACTACGCTTAGTGACCAGCTCTCTTAAGGTAAAATTGTTGGTTTTGCCAAAATCATATTATTAATAATTATTAGAATCAGTAATTTTTGAAGGGTTGATTCGTGAGTGTTTAGTGAGGATTAAGTGTGAGGAAATTAGCTGCAATTAGCAATTAGCTGCTTTATATACCCACATATTATGTACATACATAACGGTGAAATAAAACTTAGGACAATTTATTAAAGTATATATCGACCAGATACTGAATCTTCGATTTTCGATCTGTTACGAAAAGGCGACCAGATGCCTTGTGGTTGTTTTCCGATTTAAAAGCGCACGGCTTCACACATTTATTGGCATTCTTCCCGTATTTGTTGTTTATTTATTTATTTAAGACCCACAAGTGATAATTACATTAATAAAATATTGGGTAAAAAGAAATACAGTGTAGCTTAATTCTAAATGCATTATCTTTTAAGGCAGATACAGCATGCAAATATGTATTATTAAGTTTATACGGTTTGAGATATCTTTATTAATATTTCTCACAAGAATAAAGTTCACTTAGGAGAAAAATAAGGTACATTACGAACAAACATCACAGATTATAAATCATTTATTATATAATATTAAAAACGTATTAACTTATTGGTAAAAATTATTAAAATCTCTATATAAAAATTAGGTTACAGGTGGTTCATTTTATTAAAAATTAGATCATTACCTATATTTTGTTTATGTAAAAATTATTTAGTTAATTTATCACTGAACAAAAACTTATAGCGAAATGTTTTGAGTGAGTCCCTAAAATAGCTTTTCCGTGTCTTCATACACTGTCCTGAAGGCAAGCTATTCATCGATGGCCCGGTGAAGAAAGGTAACTCGGTCAGGTAAGCTGGCACTGGAGTCCCTCCCTTCGGTACGGATTGAATCGCCCGTATGATAGCTTCCGCCAGGTCCTTAGCTCCGGCGGGTTGTTGGTCTGGCTTGACCGCTGCCGACGCCTGCGTTTGGATACACTCTTTCTCGGGAGTTTCCATAAGTTCCTTCGGGAACGCGTGGGCATCGTGCTCCTTCGTGGCACGGTATCGGCGGTCTCTTCTAGCCAATGACGGACGTCCGCCTCTTTATTCTGCGGGTCTTCAGCGTCCGATTCATCCTCCTCGGCCAGCTGTAATAACTCCAGCCTGGCTCTGGTCGCAGCGGACCTAGCTTGTGCTTCACGGAGCTCCTACTCCGCTAGCTCGGCTCGCATTTCGAGTTCCTTACGTTTTCTCGCTAGGTCGCTTTTCACGGAGGCTGCCCGACTTCGATTGGCCGTCCTGGTCTTGGCCCTTGAGTCATAATCTTGCCTTTTCGTCGTCTCCGTAGTTGTTGTCTCGTAGCTCGTTGTAGTGGTCGTCGCATCGGTTGTCGGCTCTGTTGACGATTCCGTAGGTTCGTCCCGTTCCGGAGCGATTCCTAGCCTCGATGCGGGTCTCTCCGCTCTTATAGCGGCCGTCTCTTGTACCCGACGCTCCGAGGTCGCAGGAACGACTGGTGCCGATGCTTCGGCGGTACCGACGGGTGTCGACTCCCTCCTCTCTGAGCCCTTATTGCTCCTCGTCACTGGCATAGTGATGTATGAGAGCTTCTTCTAACGACGGTACGCCTCTTCTTGAACACTGGATCCGGCTCGAAGGACCAGCTATTGCGGTCGGGGTAATCTCCCGCTTGAGGGGTGGATCGGATCTTATTAATTCCTCCGAGAGTGGCAGTGGAGTAAAATCGATTTCAACAAATTAACATAAACATAATGCGCTCTGACAAGAGTCGCTTACGTTAGAGTCTCTTATATTTATACACATGTATTTTCTCTATAAATATTAATCTGATTTTCCTTAACATTTACATCTCTTATAACTCTAACTATTAAATATTAGTAGCTTCGTCGCCGATAGGTCTTTGCGTGGATATCGAGAGGGAACATTAAATTTAATCTTAGATACTAAATCTGGATTATCATAGATATTGTTATGGCTTTTATACAAAAACATCAAATCTAACAAATCTCTTCTTTGGCTCAAGCTATGTGTATTAAAAAATGCTAGCCTTTCATTATACGAAGAGAGTTCTTTAGCCTTGTGATACCAACATATGGGAATTTTTTTATAGTTGGATTGTGATCTCGTTTTGCCGTTGGGCTACGTCGTCTTCTTCATCTTAATCTGTGACTCCGGCCGAGAGAGCTTTTACTTGTTTTATGAGCTGGTCTATTTGTTTCGCCATTGATTCAATGGTTGGCTGGGGAGCAGATGTTTATGCAACTTGAGGTGTACACGGGACTAATTGAGATGGTCTCCGGTCTCCTAACTCTTCGTGAACAAGTAATTGCTTAACCTCTTTTTCGCGCGAGGCTGACAGACGTTTGATCAATTCTGACTTTAGTCTTTCGTACTTCCCTGTTTTTGGTGGTGAAATAATTATATTCACTTCTGATGCGTAACGGTGTTCCAATGTCGAAGTTACGTAATAAAATTTTGTATCGTCGTCAGTAATTCTCGACAATACAAAATTGCCTTCCAATTGTGAAAACCAAACTGCAGGTGCTTCTGCCCAGAATGGTGGTGGTCACACTCCGACTCGAAATATGTCGGGAGGTGTACGCGGTCGTTGTGACTCGGCATTTACGTTCGAGTTACCTCCATTTTGTGGTTCCATTTTATCCCACCAAATAATCTAGTGTTGTAAAAACTATTGACTATTTCTTTTCTAAGTTAAAGTTTATATAGTGATATTTTTTATTTTATTTTGTGATTTTTATGTAATATTTTTATTTTATCTTTAAATTAGTATGTAAACTTTTTATTTACACTGTTTATAGTTAGTAAATGTTATGTACACTTGTCATTGACGTACATATCTGATGTTTTAATATAGTCACTTTAACTGTAAATATTCAATATGTATGTTGTAAGTGTGCTTGTTTAAATAAATGAATAAATAAGTATAAAATCCATATTATGTAAGAATATTATTTTACTTATTGATATTTTATTTTGAGCTATGGCTTCATTATTGTTTATTATTTTTAATATGCTGAAACAGTCCAATCAACTTGTATCTATAGACCGTAAATAATTAAAATTATGATTTCGACGTCAGTGGATGCAATTAAAGTCCAAAATTTAAATGACTTAATTTTATTTTAAAACTAAATCACAATTAATTGTTTCGCCTATATTTCACGAAAGGAGAACAAATAGTGACACAATAATATAAAAGAAATATAATACTTAAGTCTGTTCACACGTTTCACACACATATGTACAATTTATTTGTTATTGCTTATTTTGCAACGTTTGTTAATTATAATTATAATAATAGTGGCGGGGGTAGGATAATGTTACTCCTATTTGAAAAATTTGTAAAAGGGACTGATTGAAAACCAGCGTTTCCCAGGGCCATGGTCCAGAGAAACATGCAGCTGAGACAGCTCCCATTGTCTGCATAAGCATATTATGTATTATGTTTACTTTATTCTATCCCTATGTATCTCAATGGTTACTATGTTTCTGACAATAAACGGATTTTATTATTATTATTATTATTACTATTATTATTATTATTATGTACATACATCAGTTCACAGGAAAACTAATTGTATATAAAAAATAATCACAATAAAAAGATATAGTCTAAATCATTTCACCTAATTCCTCTTATAAATAGGACATTCGGATTTAACTTTTTTTTAAATATAAAACTACATATTAGACTTATTAAATTGAATGCAAATTATAATTAAATAATCTTTACAAATCTCACGATGCTTGACAAACCTACTCGTGACATTAGATATCCAACTAAAGAAAACCTTTTATATATTTTATCACCATATTTCTAATATGATTTCGAATAATCTTTGAAATAACTTCAAAACACTAGAACTTCCCGGGGATTTGGCTTATTGAAAGAAGACTAATTCACAATTGTATCTAATTGCTTGTTTTATAAACATTTCAATTAATTAATTTAAGTGACATCATTCGGTAAAAGTGGAATCGCGTAAGAGAGCTGGAACTGAAAGGCTATCGACAACAGAAAATTCAATTTTGCAATATATTTTATCCTTCTATCTTCAAATTCAATCAATAGTTACAGTTTATTATTGAAAACATAAAAAAAAACAAACACAAAAAGAAAGTCTTGTCACTTTAAAAGTTGGCATGTAATTGTTACAAATTACTAATTATATTTTTCTTACCAAAGGAAGTAAATTGGAATCAGTTGTATGTTTGTAAGGAAATGATGGATTTTGTGGTATAATCAAAAATACTAAGTTAAGTTATCCATTTTCCAACACAATCCATAATTGCTTTGATTTTTGTATTTTATTGAAAATTTTGGCAAAAACCGTCACAATGTGGAGAGGCCGGCGGAAGAGAGAAGAAAAGGAAGACCCCGAACAAGTTGGGAGGAGGAAATTATTTACACGCCGGGACCAAACTGGATGCAAACTCAAGGGAAGATTGGCAAAATTTAGAGGAGGCCTTTACCTATAAAAATTGGTCTCACACTTTAGTATACAGGGTGACTGGTGAATTACTATCAATATTTAAGGAGCATACTCGGTACATGATTCTCATTCGAATTATGTAAAAAAAATAGGTACTTAATTTTTGACCAAATTTCCGTATAAATAAATAAAGTGTGTACACGTTCCAAGTGTTCCAAGTGTGGACGCGTGCGGCGGCGTGCTAATACAACAACACGCCGCCGCGCGCGTATGTGTGAGTGTGTGTGTATACCTAATCTGTAGGGTGTTCATACGATGCGTAATTAATTACATAACTTTTGGTTAACTTTACTTAGAAGTTTATTAATATTTATGTTATATTAATTTTTATTTTGTCATATATGTATGATCGTCAAATATCACGTCCTCAAATATCGATAGTAATTCACCAGTCACCCTGTAATATTCTAATTTTAATTAAGTACTAACAATAAAATTATTAATGATAGTAATAGAAATATTAACAAATAGCGAGATATTATATACTCGTACTTACTACTAACAATCATTTATGTAATAGTCCAAATTTGAGAGAAATACAGGCTTTTTATTTATTTATTTTATTGAAAATTTGTTTAATTTGTAGCATTCTAGCATAGTTTGGTTAAAAGTTGTTATATCCAAATTACTGCGCCTGCGTTTATCACGATTCTCAAAGTAATGATTTAACATTTTTTAACACAATTGCTTCTCATAAGAAATTTTATTTGCAATCACACTATCTTTATATTATTACATAAAATCCATATCATGTGAGCATATTATACTATTTTACTTGTTATGTATGTATGCATAAACTGTACTGAAACCGTCTAACCAACTTGAATATATAGACCGTAAATAAGTCGAATTATAATAAAATAAAAATTTAAGTGACTTAATTTTATTTTAAAACTAAATTACAATTAATTGTTTCGCCTTTATTTCAAGAAAGGTGAACAAATAGTGACACAATAATATAAAAGAAATATAATACTTAAGTCTGTTCACACTTTTCACACACATATGTACATACATCAGTTCACAAGAGAACTAATTATAAACAATAATCACAATAAAATATATAGACTAAATAATTTCACCTAATTCCTCTTATAAATAGGACATTCGGATTTACCTTTTTTAAATATAAAATTACATATAAGACTTATTAAAGTGAATGTAAATTATAATTAAATAATCTTCACAAATCTCACGATGCTTCACAAACCTACTCTTGACATTTGATATTCAACTAAAGAAAATTTTTCATATCCTCTACCACCAAGTACTTAAACTTGCATATACAAGTTATAAATATATACATAGCCCTAAAATTATTGTAAAATCAAATATGTAATATTGTTTATTTTTGTTATAATTCGTCGTTTGTTATATGACTATCTACATCTAATGATTTAGCTTTCACAATATCTTTATAATACTTGGCGGAGGCTCTCGGACGGCGGGTGCGGGCTGGGTCGTTGAAGTCCACCTCGTATAAACCGAACTTGGAACTGAAAAGATTATTATTATTATCAGATTATGAACAGAAGAAAATGTGATAAAACATAAGACTGGTATAAAAATATATATTAATTAACACCATTGTTCAATCTAATTCTATAGATTTTTTTCTTTAGCCTTGAAAATTATTATTAATTAAATAATTGCGTCATCATTTACCGATAGCCATCGCTCCATTCGAAATTGTCTATCATCGTCCAAGCTGTGTAAGCTACGACATTGGCCTTATCTTCTTCTATCGCGAGGAGAACCTGGTGGAAAATATAAGTTAAAATAATACGAAACATTTTATAATTTATTTGACTTAAAATATTTAATGTAATTCGTCACCTGTTCTAAATGGCTCTTATAATAATCAACGCGGACTTGATCGTCTAAATCTTGGTCGTGGGTAGCGAAGCCATTCTCAGCTATGAAGATTTCTATGTCTCCATACTGTTCTTTCACCCAAGAAATCAGTTTCCGTAAACCTTGCGGGTACACCTGAAATGGGTGTCATTTTCGTAATTTTAATAGACTTTTATATTTGTAAACATTTTGCAATAAGAAAA